TTTGACAAGAAATCTGTTTATACTACAAACACTACTCACCAAAAACCTCAATCTTCTCCCAAGTCATACCAAGGGAATGAGAATGGTTATCGAAAAAGCCGGTCTACTCATCATCAAGAACACTTTGCATTCCCCATCATAGACACGGCTTCTTTTCACTTAGATCAACCTAAGAAATCAATAGATGTGTTTGGAATTCACCAACTAGGCAAGCAAGAAATCGAACACAACCTCGAAAGAAAGCTTTCGATCCTATCATGGGACGCGATCCCAAACTCCCCTACCACTCCATTCACCATCTCGTTAGCAAAGAAAACAACTAGTCCTAGTGTAAGAACCGAAGATGATGAAGATGTATGTAGTGATGCAAGCTCCGATCTTTTCGAGATTGGAAATCTTTCCGGTGTTCCCGGTAGTCAAACATCAACCCCTTATTATGCACCCAGTGAAAGGAGCATCGAGTGGAGCGTAGTTACAGCTAGCGCGGCTGATAACTTCTCTTCCTTTTCTGACCACGACGATGATCACAAAAGCACCATCCCTCGACATAGAAGTCATAAGAACATCACCCTAGAGAGAAAAAAGGTGCAAAGAAACTCAAATTCGGGTGGAATGTTCCTAGGGTGTACGAGTCACAAAGCCGTCGATGTTATAAGAAACTACCATCAACCATGAATCGACATCAATCGTGCATTGTTGTTATTGGTGTATGCCTAATAAATCTATTAAAATGGTCACTTTAGTATGATTTTCGTACAATTATGTCAATGTATGGCATTTTTATGATGATTAGTTCCTTAGTGATATGGTAAGATAAGATATTGTTATTATTGAATTAGAGCTATGAAATCATGTATTAGACCTACCAAAATTACTATGAGAATGATATATAATTATAGATTTCTAATATCTTTATGGCAATGATGAACAAGAGCTTTATTCTTTGCTTTCTTGTCAACCAAAGTTAGAGCATTTCATGGGACAAAAATTGGGAACCCGGATTATTTATTTTCTTTCATAATTTTTTATAAAATTGATGGACCTATTATTCTAGATGCACATTTGCCTAACCACATTGCCACACCACATTGGTTCTTTGCCAAAATTGTTTTATTGGCTTTTTCTTGAGTTGTCACATTATTTTACCGATTATATATTGTACTCATTTCTCACACGTTCTAGAATTTTTATTCTTCAATTCCTTTTGGTAGGCATAGGTGGGTGGAGATGGAGAGTCTTTAAATCTTAGTTGTAGTACCATTTTGATCTATTAACCGTCACCAACGTATTGCTAGTCTAATTTAAACTAGTAATGTAACAGCCAAATAATGTTAGACATTTAGAGTGTATGTGGGGAGAGCCCTCTCTTATTTGAGGAGAGGCCGCTGCTGGGAAGCCACAGAAAGCCACGCCCGCGGCCTTATGTGCCGCGCCCTCTCTAAGGGCGCGGCCAGGCATCTCCAGAAAATTGGGTGTGAATGAAGTTCACCCTTTCCGCGCCCGCAGGTTAGGCTGCCAAGCCCGCGACCCTCTGGCAGTTGCGGTTTTTCGATTGAGAGATTAAAAAGGAGAATAATCAGTTTTTCTCTCTTGTTCTTCTTCTCTAAGATAATTCTCCACACTTTTCATAGAGAAAACTTGCAATCTTCTCTTTGAAAACTCTTGAAATTTAGCCTTCCTCGTGAATTATTCATCGTATTTCCATTCTAGTGCTAAGAACGAAATTGTCGTCAATTGTATCTCAAAGAGGATTTCCGGTTTGACCCAAGCACCGTGTGGGGGAAATAAACCTCTTTAGGAAAGTGTATACACGCCTTTGACAGTGTATCAAGGTTTGAGTCTTACGGGACATCATCATTCTCATGTTCATGTTCGTTTCTGTCGGCTTGGAGGAAAGGCAAGTTTGATTCTTCACACTAGTGTAGTCTTTGTAATTTTTAGTAATTTCTTGACTTTTCTAATACTTGATTGTAATACATTATATTGTATTTGATTTTATGATTTATTTTGCAATCATATAATTTAGGTTTTGTTCCCACACAATTTTTAAGTGTTTTCTTTTATTGAAATCACTGTAAACCTAACAAATGTGAGCAGAGGTACTGAGGTAGTATTTCATACTTAGACTACTAAGCTAAAAGAGTACGTTATTTATCCATGAAAAACTCAAAAATGTTTGAAATGTCACAATTATGTTTGTATGAAGTATAAACATGTCCATAAAAGAACAAATCGAGCAATTTCGTTAGCAAGCAATAATAATGAAGGCGTTCGACACTTATTCCTTTGCCAATTCTAAGTGGGGATAAGTGAGGGAAGGTAAGAGACGAGCCTTAATTAATTACAAGGGAAGGAATGAAGAGGGTGGGAGTGGGAGTTGGGGTGGGAGGATACAACTAAAGTACTAGTCATAATAGCTGCTAAAGAATGTCCCAAAAACGACCCACAATGCTATAGCAGCCAGATATATTTTTAAGTATACTACAAATATATCTCAAAATCTCTTATCTACTCTTTAATTATATATTTAAGTTTAAATTTTTTTAATATGAATGTATATTGCTCTATTATACTTCGTATTCTTTACGGGTGTGCCCTGCTTTGAAAGCCATGATAGCAACTAAATTCAAGCGCGGGCTGTATATTGTACGTGTACTTTTTTCATTGGTTGATTTTGAAACAGGTTGGTTCAAGTGATGATCATATATATACATATATATGGACCTTATTATAAACAAGTTCATAGAGTAATAAGTTGTTATAGTAACAGGTGAAAGTGATCATAGTATGTATAGAAGTGGTGGAAGATAAGAATTTGGATAGTGAAGTTACAATATATTGGTTATGTATGGGCCATAGAGTTTGTAATACACTAGCTTCACTACTGAAGTATGTCACTGTTATCAGTAATTGTGTTTTCAGTGATGAAGTTGTATATGTGGAAAATTAAACGGTAAAATGTAAGTGTAAATGCAGCACATGAATCACTAAATGCAGCACAACTTCAAAAAGTTTTTCTTAAAAAGTTTGAAAGAAACGTAAGATACCCCAATAATTGACAAACTTTTTTCTTTTGGTTGGTTCAGAAAATATTGAAATTCAACTCTTTTTTTGTTTTTTTACAAATATCTCAATATACCTAAAATGAGATTAGGTTTATACTTCTTTGATTTTTGAAAGGTATATATTGTAAATTCAAAAATATCTCAAAAAATATAAACGGAGAAGAAAAATGAAAATGGGTCTAATAGAAACTAATAAGAACCAACAAAAATAGATAACACTTTTTTTTTTTTTTTTGAAGGGGAGGATAAAATATCATTAATTGAAAGTCATACGGCATCTACAATAAGCATTATAGAAAAGTAAAATACAATCTAAATTAATCAAGTAAAAATCCTCTTTAAAGAAACTATGATGATGAGAAACTAGATCTAACGATGAAGCAAAGTCCCCGATTGTTCGCTGAATTATGTCGCCTTCTGTGAGGGAGTCCATCTTCTTGACATAATTTTGGGAAGAAAATTCATTACTTGACCATGTCGATCGCATCCTCAATTCTAACGCCAATTGCAAAATTATACGAATAACAACCCATGAATCCAATCTTTCAAATAAAACCCTAAAAATAAATTTCAATCTTCCACAAGGGAAGAGAAGAAAGACAAACACCAAACTCTCACAAAAGGAGAGAACAAACCCAAAAATTGGGAAGAAAACTCTCATAAAAAGAGAGTAAGGAGGATTATTAATGACTAAAAAACAAAAAATAAAGGAAATGAAGAAAGAAATGGGGCTTACCATCATCAAAGAGATGATGATGGTAGCCCCTTGCGGCTGCCAAAGATTTTAGGGTTTTTTTTTAGAGAGGGAGATAGGAAGAGGCGAGTGAAAGTTTTTAGGTAGGCTTTCTTTTAAATAGCGTAAAAATTAAAGTATTGTATTTAAAATAGATAACACTTAATAATACTCGAAAATAGAATAAAGAGTCTTAAATATTCCATGTTCAATAGATAGTGATTTGTCTTACATCTTTTCTCTCCAAAGTAGAGACATATGCTTTACCTTGTTATATTATACTTTACACAATGTTTGGTATTAATTTGCTTAAAGATAACTACTTAAATGAAGAGATATACAAGACATAAACAACCAGGAATGTTCTGAAGGGGCCAACTGCTCTACATAATGGCAACACACCATAATATAATCTTTTGGTCTATAAACAATCAAAGGCCCTATATATTATATATGGACCACACCATAGAGGTACCACGATGATTAAATCATTCTTGGCTAAAACCATTTGATGATTTTAACAATTCAACCACCCTAATATTAATGCCTTCCTAACCAGTTTGAGTGATGGAATTGTGTTATGTTGAGCCATATGCTGTCCATTGTGATTCTCGAATCTCTTTATACTACTGTTATTTCTCTATATATTTCACAATAATTGATATAATTTGACTATTTGCACAATTGATCTATTAACTTAACGGTATTTTTATACTAATTTCAAAAATTCAAATGCTATCATGTAAAATACTGTTATGTTAGTATTAATATCTATTTTCAAAATATGTACTTCCTTCGTTTTATTTTTATAGTCACAACAGTTTGACTTTTACACAATTCATGTATTCCACTTTGATTAGTTTAGATGATTTATAGGCTTATGGTCGTGTAAAAATATAATCATGTGAAATCTTGTTAGATTTATTTTGATTTATACTATTTTAACATCAAATGTTAATAACTTTTAAACATTGGTAATTATAAATATTAACGATGGAAATAATGCATCAGCAAACGTGAAAAAAAAAGTGTTACAACTATAAAGGAAACAGATGAAGTATTTTTTATAAATTTTACTAACATATATTTTCATACATAAATAGCCAGACTTGTCTATTTGCATGAGTGTTCACGTGTTTAGTCAAACTACATCAATTATTTTAAAATATATGTATTGCATAAAATTTCAGTTATAGATACCATTATGCAAACTGTAGTAAAGATGAGTATTGAAATTTCAACTAAAATAAAATGTCATTAGATTATAATGGAGTGAGAATGGACAGTCCCTTTAGTTTCATACAGTTTTGTCATTTGGGTAGGAAAGTTAATAGGTAGGGGTAATTTTGTCATTTGGATTTCATTTTCACTCCTTGGTATGTACTATGTACGAATGTGTACCTATTTACAGTGGGTCAAGTAATAGTAAACGGAAGAAGTAATAAACTCTAAAAATGCAATACTCCAAGCCAGATCAAAAAAGGCCTTCTATCGGTATGAAGGTATGAAAGTTTCATACATATACACTTGAATGACTCTCTTGACACCTGAAAAAACAAAGGTGAACTAGCACATGAGAATAATATCATTTTTTTTTTTTTTTTTTTTTTTTTTTTGCTTTCATTTCAACCTTTTGTGACTTACCTTGTAGCTTGGCAGCCTCTGACTTGGTTAATTTGGCAAAGAATACAAAGGAAGAATTCTCAAGAGAGCAAGCAAGGAAACGATGGTCACTGACATAAATCATGTTAACACAAGTACACAATGAAGCATCTGGAATAATAGAAAGCCATCTGAACTTAAAAATAAGATGTTTTACCAGTCAATTTCTTTCAGCAATTTGATATAGTCAGACTTCTCCCAAGACTTGCCTTCCACGTATATCCGACATATCTACATATGCTGAAATTAGCATATATGAATCACACACAAAAATGATGATCAGATGCTAGAAGAAAAAAAAAAACTGGGGTCAAATGTGAATCAAATTAACTATGTAGAATAAAAACAGAAGCTCTTCAATGCCCAGTCGAGCAATTTTTGCAGTCTGTCGGGTAAGTGAACAAAGAGAAGGGCACTAGATGCACTAGTGCAAAGCTTTTTGTACTTTTTTTTATAGTACTAGTAATAAAGACTAGATGCACTACTCTTACCACAAAATGTACTAGACACCTTAATATTGCAAATCCTGAAAAACTTTTTTCCAACCAAATCACTCACATAATGAGTACTTGCAACCAGAACTCATCCATTACCCACAAAACCTGTACACTCCTGGAAGATATTAGAGATATTACCCACTAAAAGGTTAACTTCTTACCACTAAAAGGTTACAAATCTCCTCACCGCCATTAGAGGAACGGAAAAGGAGGGGAAAGATTGAATATGAAAGTCAACTTCTTACCACTAAAAGGTTACAAACCTCCTCACCACCCATCACATCAAATACCTGCTGCATAACTCTTATCTCTTTCCTTACATGCATCTCTCCACTACTCCAAGCCAACCCCAGACCAAGAACCAATTGAAAATGAGAACCAGGGAAAGGTCTACTTCGGTACTCCCTCCAGCAAGGGAAACCTTAAAGTTGCGTTTGGAATCCATATAAGTCTGATCTGTCATTCAAATTTCAGATTGAAAATTTGCAGGTTTTCAAGACTAGAGTTTTCAAGTGTCTGGAATTATGGATTATCCTTGGTTAGGGAAACAAAGATCATGTAAGACAGGTATGGGTTTGCTGACTCCCAAGTTTGAGAATCTTTTATCTTCACTAGGGTGGTTTCAACATGGGTACAGCTCGGTCAACTGACAAGTCTGAGCATCACATATGAACACAACACATGGACCATTTTGGCATGAAGTTCTCTATCAAAATCTTCAAAAAATTTCAAGCATAACAATACAAGTAATAGGCATGAACTCACACCTGTGGTTTACGAGTGCATTCTTCAGGAGTCATATCTGTGACAAGGAAAAAAAAAATGAGTTAGTCAATATAAAGCCTACATGACAACCAAGGTGACATAACAACAGGTTTAGCTTACCCAGCCATAGGCCCGTAGATAAAGATTAATTCAATATTATGAAGTAACCATAATTGGCATTACAATGGTATTAAATCTAGCCCGCTTTGCAACATTGTATAGGTTTTTGAGCTTACTACAACTGCAAATGATCCGAGAGTTAATCCATGAATTCATCATACATTCATACAAATGGCGTAAAAATTAACAAAACATCCTTTTGTTAAAGGGGAACGTTCGATTTTTGTGGTCAAAACTTGTAAACATGACTTTTTTTTTTTTTTTCTCCACTACAATACCTATTAGTAGAAGTACACTATGATAATCTTCAAAAAGTACTAATTAAAATAAATCTAGTAGGTCACAAATTGTAACTCAATGAACACTGAACAAAACTTAGATGGCATTAGAAAGACAAGCCAATTATGGCAACAAGTTTGACATATGTTAAGTAGTTTAATAGAATGGTTTTTCTTAAAAAAAAATAAAAAAAAAAACACACACACACACGCACACACCCACAGCTTAAACAAGAATAGCATGATTTTCTATTTGCCTCAGTAACCAAACAATGTAACAAGGACCAATGACTATCTTATGTTGAGACTAGTCTGCTAGTCATAAAGACAGAACTATACAGTTTGATGACAAAGTATTAAATAACTATACTTAAATATGTAGTGACGGACTTACAAAACTGTGGTCAGTTCAAGCTCATCAATTTTTTCAAAAGAAACACTAGTCCCAACTATCAAGTTCCTGATAAGAAGAAAATAGCACGAAGTTCTTTCCTTTCCCAAGTACACCAATTCACTGACAAATATCATTATACCACATAGCCCAACTAACCAACTTTAAGACATAAAATCAATAAAAACAGCTTCAAGACCATAATTCATTACCGTGTAGCAACTCATAAAGAATCCTCAAGATATAGAAACTAAAATAATGAACATCACACATTAGCAACCTAGCAATTCCTACCAATATACAATTTCAAAGTAAAGAAGCTTCCAAAACCTTTGTCCATAAAAATAGAAATTAAATTAAACACTCACAGCTCCAACCAATACGATCCATAATCAATTCTATATCAGTATGAGGGCCATTTTCATTTAGCTTTTCCAATGTCCGATCGATTTCCTCATCACAATCTACTGATGTGAGTACAAACGTTCGAGATTGCGTTTCTGGATTTGCAAAATTTAACATCATGCAGCAAAAGAGCAGAAACCTTTATTAGCAAGTAGATATTTTAATTTAAGCAAGAAAAGAATTTGTAGTGAAGGAGAATCAACACTTGAGCACTACTTCAAAAACCCGCGTAGGCATATCGATCAAACTACACAAATTAAATGTCATTCTGACAAGTAAAAATATGAGGAACAATATCTACCTAGAGATAGCAACATACCGAACCGAACTCAAACATGGCTGGACTAAGTTTTAATTTATCTATCATGTTGGAACAAAAACATGAACTCATCTCAAACTAAAAACCTTTTATGAGCTTGGCGTCATCAAAATGATCAAACTACACAAATTGAATGTATAATCCTAAGAAGGCTCCCCTCCCACAATTACGAAAAGGTGGCTGTTGAGTGTTGAGTTCAGTTAACACAATTGACGATAGTGAATATGTATGACTAGCTTGAACATTTAATATTTTACATTCATTAATTTTATTATCAAAGAGTCTGAAAACAAAAACATTGGCCTTCAAAGGCTTGTATATATATATTTCAATTATAATGTGAAAAGTTGGGTTGAAGGGGATGTTAGAATAAGTTGAGGGAGGCCAAATATGACTTGGCTTAGGGGGGAATAGATAAAATGAAAAAAAAAAATACTTAACATTAGAGGTTGGATTTACCAAAAGATGAACCAAATACAAACAAACTTCAGACATACCTCTTCCATGCCAGAAGTAGAAGATCCTGTGAAGATAAGCTAAGGTAAATAAGTTGGGTGTAAAGATCACAAATGCAAAGTCAAGCTAACTCTAATTGTAACAAAAATTTCAGTCAGATTGTAGAACATGATGCATCATAAAGTGTAAGCACATATTATCGGAGTATCAACATTAACAAACTTGGCCAAAAGCATTATAAGATAGTTCCTCGTCAATAATTTGCATTAATTTATTTTCCCATAGAAAGAAAAAATGAATTACAATTGCCTGTGTGCTAATGGTAGGGGTGTCTGTACTCTATATCCTAAGGTTAGATTAATTATTCAATAAGGATCAATCTAATATAAAATGGTATTTATCAACAAGAATCAATGATGCAGGAAACATGAAACATATAAACGTAATTAAATCACCTCTGTAAGCTAGCTCACCTTTGCCTTCAGAAGGTGATTCATCGGACAAGGCAGCATCAGAACAACACGACTCTAGAGAACCTCCTTTACCCCTTTAGTCGGCACCAAGAGGTTGCAGTACTTGTTTCCGTTTCCGATCCTCCTCTATGATTAAAATCAATTATCAATATCAATAGGAATATGATAATTTTAAAGATTAAATGCCTCCGCCTCACCTTTGCCATGTAAGTTCTTGGAAGAAGAAGCAGCATTTCGACGTGGTTTTGAGTCTAAAACTGATCAAACCAAACCAAACCAAACTACACGAGTAAACGCAAAAATTAGGAAAGTATATACTTGTATATAATCAAATTACAAAACTCCTTAAAACGATTGACTCATAATAATGCGCTGGACAACCATAGTGACGTTCAAATTCATTAATCTGCACAAGTATAATTATTCATTTTTTTTTATTTTTATTTTTTTGCAATACTTATTACATTAATTAATCAATCATACAATTATCATAGTTCAATTCTAACAATTAAAAGGTTCTGCAACACATTAGCAACCTGATAATTTGATTCAATAATCAAATTAGGTTCGTAATTTTAGGGAGAAAACGCACATTTGATTCAATTATCATGTTAGGCTAGTAACAAAATCGCTTGTTATAATCTTTCATAACATTAGTAATTAGAACCAATAGTTCAATAATTCGAACCCTAAATTAACTATAGTGACAATTAAATTAAATCAACGATAAAACCTAGATTGTGAAATTGATATTCGATGACTACAAAAAAAAAACAATAACTTACCTCTAAAGCTGCTTCAATTGGAGGATAGAAATATCAGAGGTTGCCTACGTGGAGTGCGCTTCATTGGAGAAAGTTGAGTGCGCTACAATAGGAAACAGAGAGAAAGAGAGGACAGATAGGTACGTTCATCCCGTTCTTTATAAAACTAGTAATCCTATAGCGTGCGATAATCCGACGTGATTTTTATGTCGTAGTTAACCAATAACATAATACTATAGCGTGCGATAATCCAAGGTGTTACTTCTCGGTGCTGTTTAATTTTTTATTTTTAAATATTTGGATCATACAACTATACTATAGTAATATATTATTTCTAATCTTATATATTATCTTTATAGTAATTGTATTCCTTTTTATTTCATATTCTATAAACTTAAAATAATTACACAAGATTTTAATACCTTTTAATTAAGGGAGAATGAGCTATGATTGAGAAGGTTGAAATATGATGGACAGTGAGGGCCAAAAATACTATATTAACATTTATATTACCATTATATAGTTGTACAATAGTGGGTTCAATCGAAAAAAAATATTTTTTTTTCATGGTATCGATTTGAAATCTGATGAAATAATAATAATTATTAAGTGTGTTTTCTGTTAAATATTTCTGTAATAATTTTACCAACTTATAACATTTTTTTTTATTTAAAAAATCTCTTAACTATTACTAAAACAGGTCCTATTTACATAGATCATTTTGGACATATGTCAAGCAATCATTAAAAAATTTCCCGCCAATAATATATATGATGTCAGCTTTAAGTTTTATTTTTAAGAAATTAATCTACTTAGCTTTTTTTTTTTTAAGCACATTGTATAGTTTTTTTTTGGACTGAATTAATTCATTTATAAAATGTCATAAGGCATTTATATTGTATAGTTTTATTGGGAATAACATGCATCATTAATATAATATAATGTACACTATTTTAAAATATTTTCAATACAACTAATCTAAAATAATTTTTTTTTCCTCAATTGTAGTTTTAATAAATTTTGCCTTATGATTTCATCTTTCTTACATGCATTGCATTTGTTTATTCCAAATAAGTTGCCTCATTTTTATATTATATAACAAATTAATTATAGAAAAAAATGTTATTACTACCGTGCATCGCACGGACACCTACCTAGTGCTTTTATCGTTTTCATGCTGAGTTTAATTACTTCCTCCGTTCTTTTTTACTTTACCCGCTTTGACTTTTACATTATTCACCACCCCTCCTTTGACCGTCTTTTGTGAACAATATGTAAGGAAAAACATATTCATGCGAGATTTTTTTGAATTCGTCTTAATAAGTACTATCATAATATAAATTTTATGATTTTACTTATGGAGAATTAAAGTTATTGATAGTTAAAGTTATTGATCGTTAAAGTTTTGCATTAGCAAGCGTGATAAAAGAAACAGGTCAAGTAAAACAGAATAGAGGAAGTATTACCTAAGTACTTTTATCATTTTTATGCTTAGTTTAAATATACTTAGATTTAGCAAGTGACAGGCTAAAGTCGTATCACCTAATCAAAAGTAATTCCTAAAACCACTAGCTAAAATAGATAGGGAACTAGGGTCGAATCCACAAGAAACAGCGTTCTTCTATTCCTAATAAATTATTATAATCCAAATTATCAAGAAACAAATAAGGTTTGTATGAATTAATCTAAGAGAGTAATTAATACTAAAAGGTCTAGGGTCATAGGTTCACCAATAATTAATACTCCGGGATAAAACGTAACAATCAACAATCGATATTGCAATTAACATGATTAACAGGCTCTCGCAATTTATTAATCAACATAGGTCTAACAGGCTCTTGCAATTTACTAGATCTAAGTTCCTATTGAAAATAGCCTTTAATATCAAATTAACATCTACTCGATTCATCAATTCAATATTGCTATACTTTTACAATAAGCTAGTTAAGTAGTTTTTGAGGATACATCTATATGATAGCTTCGAAGAAGTTCTACAGGCTAGACTGCAAGGTACAGTGCATAATGTAGAAACACTCTTTGATGCTAATGGATGAAAAAGTGTAATGAATGGCTTGCAAATTCTTAAGGGACATCAATCTTTTATATGTTCTACTGGTGTATGATTACTTGATTAGAGCAGTAAGATAAAGGATCTACCAAAACAATGAAAATACTCAACCTTTCAAGGTATCAACAAAATCAATTTTTTTTCAACTATTAATAGTTTCTGTCAGCTATCCATGCACTTAAACTTCAAAGACACTTAAGAAAACGTTATGTTACATGAATCGGTCAGTTTCAGCAATTTCCATCACTTTCAATTCAGTTCCATAATCGAAATCATTAATACCTTGATTCTAACAAGCCTAAACTGGTTCTATTCTACATCCTCTATTGCAAATGATTGTCATGTTGTGACATTGTAAAAGAGTGGTGTAAGATCCACAAACATTTTTCGAAAAGTAGTGGAAACTTATTAAGGAGTTATTTTCTTCACCTAACAAAAACTTCTCCGTTAATGATTGGCTTGCAACTGGAAATGACTTCGTATAATCGGGTATAAAAATAATAGGATTGTGTAGGATGGTGTTCAACATGAAATGTACAAAGAAGTTCCAAGCTAAAATAGTTCATAGGAACCAATGGATGCACTAGTATGCAATTCTTACACTACATTTTTAACTCCTTGATTTAAATTAATCATCTCATCAATTAACAAACTAATAGTGCTCAAAACTTCTAGATATTGATGCAAAAAATTCACTTGTATTTCAGCAGAATTCTCAATATATTTATATATATATTAATCAAAATTTCCCATATCTAAATTTGTAGAAACAAAATGTAAATTACCCTTAAAAGAAAATGTGCATATTATCAAAATCAACCCAATAATCTATATTCAATTATCAGATATAAAATGTAAATTACCCACATAATTATAAAAATAGGATGATAAAAGAACCAAATTTGCATAATACAGAAATCCAAATTAATTTAAAGTCACATATTCAAATCAAAGGGTATATAACGAAGTACAATTTAATTAAATTCTGGGCAAATTGGCAGTGAAAAAACGCTGTGAAATAAGTAATTAGCTTAGAGATTAGCAAAATAATTAGAGTGAATAATGATGAAGTAAGTACCTTGAAACGACGAGTTTCGGCAAGGTGTTGAACACCAGAGAAGAACTGAAGATCGTTTGCTGAAACGCTTACCATCTTCTCCAATTCAAGCCACCACCTGAAATGATGCTTTGCAGAGAGTATATCAAAGAAGGGTAGTGTTGGAATTTGACAATTTTTGAGTTTTTGATTTTTGAGTGCGTTTGATTTACTTGATATTACTAATTTTAATTTAACTTATTTGAATTTATCGATCCTTTCATTCCTATATACTTAGGCGTAGTTCACTTCACCTTATTTAAATTTATCGATCCTTTTATTCCTATATACTTATGAGATCAACTTCTGAGTTTGACTTTGGAAGATGCAGACCAAGCTCAAAGCTAGAGGGAGAGTTAAGAGACAAAAGTTGGGATGTTGTGATTCCTCTTTCCCACCAACGAGTGAAACTCCTTGACTAGGCAGAATAGAAAGGGCATCCGAACCAATAAGTATTGTGTAAAAAGGATATGTACACCAATAAGTACTTGTGATGAAAGTTTTAGCTCCAACTAAAGCCATGTTCTATTCACCTTGAAAAATAAGTTCAAATAAGAGTTACACTTTATGTTCCTAAAGATATACTTGCAACAATTTGATCAACATGTGTGCCAATACACAAGTTTGACCATAAATATATGAAACTATGTATCACTCTTTAAAATTTGATTGACACCTTCACCAACATCCTTGGTCTTGTCGAGTTGCCAAACAAACATAATTTGGTTGGAGCCATCACATAGAGGCGGCCACTAGATGTTCGAAATCCCAACAATCTAGTTATCTAGTAATAGTTGTTGTAAAATAAGAGGTTTTCAATAAGGAATCATTAAAGTTTAGAGGACCTGTTTTCTCTATAGAGATGCCACAGTATTAGTTTTGACTACGAAAAAGAAGTGAACAATTAGATAAAAGTTTGATCTTATAATCAATGGAATAAAATCGGTGTGTCATGAAGCAAATTAAAATCCACTGACTTGAAAACGAAATTTCGGCGCAACCGGGGTGCTCAATTGTATTTGTCGGCACGTTCCTTAAGGTTAACACACAACTTCCACACAAAGGCCCTTTTGGGTGGAAGGTTGGAGCCAAATAACTTATGTCCAATAAAGAAGAGAATTTGTTTAGCTTATGAGTTTTTAATCTCTCGTGTATTATAATAATAAAAAAAATGAACAAGCTATTCATAAGCAAGAATATAAGATGAAAAGAATAAATCTAGTCATCAAAAGGATGATTAAATAAGAATAATGAGATTGATTAAGTCACCATAATCATTCACTTTAATGGGGGGTTACAAGGGAATCCAAGATAAAGAAGAATATCAAGAGAATGAATTTAGAAAAGAAAAAGTCTAATCCACAACCCACCCGTAGACAAACGTGGTAGGCCACAACTTACTTGTGGAGTGAACTGATTAAACTCTAAAACCAAGGCATTTATCTATTTATTCTAACAAATCACATCTTCCTCTCTTTACTACAACAATCCCCAACTAAAGAGATGGAAGAGAACAACAAAAATAATAAGAAGCTACATATTGGGCTTAAGAGGAGATTAGTACATAACACTAAGATATTACATATGCAAATTGAAATCTAGTGCTTAGTGAAATGAGGCAATGAATTACAAGTATAAGGGTGGACAACATGGTTCGAAAATGCGGTTTCGGTCGCGATCGCAAAAACGGTCGCGTAATTCGGTTAAATTGATGCGTTAGTCACGTATCGCATCGCGGTTTTCACACAAATTTCTTTATGTTTATTATGAATAAAAGTATTATGATTTTTCTCATAATATTTGGAAATTTTATATTCTAATAAATACTACTTCTATTGTAAATGGAGTACATTTTAAAAATTAAACCCCCTATTGTGTGTAGTAGACTAGTAGTAATTGAAAAGGGGAAAAAGGGTGTGGGGGTCACGTGGGAAAAATCAAAAAGAAAAGAAGAAGATATGGGGGAGCCACCTGTTACTTAGTAATCAGCTGGTGGGGTCAGGTCAAATTTCAAAGAAAAGTAAAAGGGTAACCTTTTCAGTTGTCATGCAATCCCCTCCCAACCACATGTTATTTTTTCAATAAAAATATCTTTATGCTGCAAAACAATCGACTTTAATGGAGAACTCGAAAGCTCACCAAAAAACTACTTAAGAATCTCGCAATATTTCTGAAAAAGCCCTGATTCGCACGTTATCACGGGCGGTTCATGAGTATATCGGTCGAATCGGACCATTCAGTCCAAAAATGCGTTGTATTTCAAAGATCTGCACCACGATGATAAAACTCGGTTCGATAAAAACGAAATCCGTAACGAATCGCTCGAATCGTGATGGTGTGGCCGCATTTTCGAGCCATGGTGAAACCCTTAGACTCTTGATGAAGGAGTGGACTACTAACCTTGAAACTCCATGATTTAATTCTGACCCTCAGATCACATACCTTTGTCCAAAAATTTACTTGAACTCTGTGAAGAGATGCATTTATTTATAGCCAAGTAGATTCATCTTAAGTCTAGTGGAATACTACTAACCTTGAAACTCCAAGATTTAATTCTGACCCTCACATCACATACCTTTCTCCAAAAATTTACTTGAACTCTATGAAGAGATGCATTTATTTATAGCCAAGTAATTCACCATAGGTCTAGTGGAAGTTATAGGAAAACCGCCCAAGTTTTTCCATAGAAGATGGCTAGTCTTTACAATCACACAAGTGAATCACAAGCACTTCTTAATAGTACTTAGTCGATGGGGTTAATACATGTTCATAAGAACTCAACAAATGCTACATTGTAGCTATTAACCCCCACAAGACCATGTATTCATTAAGAGCTTAATGCTCAACCTCACCACAATCATAAACAACGGCAATTCCAAAGTTTTAGTGCGTCCACTCAAATATTTGGATTCATTAAGAGTTTAAAGACTCAACCTCAAACGGTGGACCAATCAAGTGCGTCTCAAATAGCACCAACCTAAATGGTTTATTGATTCATTAAAGTTCAAAAGAACTCATTCTCATTCAAGCATTACAACACATGTCTTAGGGATAGGACAGTAATGCTTTTATATTTTCAATTGGGCTTAAAACCTATCCCTTCTGACATTTCCTCAAGCTATTTAGGATGTCCTTATTTATTTCCTTATCATAATGCACAAATCTCTTTGCTAGAATATTTTTTCAATAAGAAAAGCTAGCATGCATGTTATGAAAACCAACATTGACTTGTATGCACAAATGATTAGGAAATTATGTCACGTTTACTTTTACATGAACGAATCAACGAGACATCTTCACAACTTGAGATATGAAAGTTTTACGCAATCAAGTACAATCCTTGTAAATAGCATAGCCACATGAGTGAACTAACTTCATCAATCACCAATCATCAACACTTGCTTTTAGAAAAATTTCAAAACAACCTTTCCGGAAAGCTAGTGTATTTCACAATGTTTTACCTATCAAGATACTTTACAAAGATGATACAAGGCTAAATGCATTTAATAGTTCACTTATAAATTTGTAAAATACCACACCTCAAGTATTTCACCAACAGATGCTATGTTAGATAAAACGCAACGTATATCATATATCACATTGCTAAATGCATTAGCATGTACAACTCAAGACAGATATACTTTAGGATCTCTTCAAAGTATAAAAACTTCATGCTAATTAACACAACTATATTCCACGTGAATGAATTGAACTTTAAATATCTATGAACTTGTAGAAAGAATAAATGAAAGATTATTGAAATTAGAGTCTATAGTTAAATAATTAATTATGTATGTTTACACATATATAATCACTTTAGATACAAAAATTAAGAAGGTGGGGACTCTTGGGAAGGAGGGGATGAATTAGCGGGTGGTTCCTCAATTTTCTTTCCCCTCTCTCTTTGCTTAGCCATGGCTTGTTTCATGGCTTCCTTCCTCTTTTTACTAGCTAGAACTTTGGCTAGGACCCCACTTACATTTGAGGTGATTTTGCTAATGGCTGCTTTATTGTTGTACTTTCAATCATTATGATCATCCTCTGAAGTGTAAACTCTTGTTTGAAATATCCCTTCTTTGACGAGATGATCCTTGGTTTGCAGCGCTTGGAAAGTCATGCATCCACTTGACCTGGAGTGACCGGGGTGCCATATCTCTTGATGTATGTTGCATATTTGATCTTCTATTCCTGTTTCCCCCACCCACCCTTAAAATTAAAAGACCAGCTCTTAATCTCATACAATTAGAGAGAATTTGGAGTGGAGCATTTAGTCTTTTCTTTCTGTTCACCGAAATCTATTTTCCTTTTCCTATCTTCTTGCTGAAATGTTTCTTTTAGGATGAATTGATTTTTATTTCCAACTATACCTGAGAAAGAATAGAGTGTCAAATTCCTTATGTCAATTTTCTATCTTGGCATCACCTCAGCTTTATACTTATTGAATGGATAGGTATTTATTCGCATTTATGCAGAATTGTAGTATCTTTTTTCTACTCAGCTAGGTAAAAAATCAAACTGCAACTTTTTCAGGGTCTAGACCTGAAAGTTGTGGATAATGTTGAAGAGGCTGAATTCATTTTGGTCCATGGCACTGAAGTACTGGGGCTTTCTTCTGGATCTGCTGTTCCAAAGCAACTGGAAGAACTTGAAAAAATATTGGAACAATGTGCTTTAAGAAAAATCCCTATGGTGGTGGCCAATCCAGACTATGTAACTGTTGAGGCCAGAGCACTTCGAGTTATGCCCGGTAGGTTGTTATTTCAAATGTAACAAATTTACACTGTTAACTGCTTTATGCAACATGTCAATTTCTAGCTAAAAAAACCAATGTTTTGACCTGAGTGTAATGTGTTAAACTGTTAGCATTCCCAATACAATATCTGATTTGTTAGCTGTCTGCTTGCTCCTTTTCCTAAATTCTTATGTATTAATTCCCTGTTATGATTTCATTTATAGGAACGCTTGCAGCAAAATATGAGCAACTTGGCGGAGAAGTCAAGTGGATGGGAAAGCCTGGAAAGGTAAATCATGCCATTCTATCCTCTTGGTCATCTTGGTAGATTGAATATTGTTGTTTTTAAGAGGCTAACTATAATGTGTCATTCATCTACTAGTACTAGTATCCTCTGAAATGAGGTAATCATTTATGTCATCCAGTTGATGTCTTGAGATGTTCGCGCTGAATTCTGATGTAATTGTCCTGTAATTCTGTATATGGGGGATTGGTGTTTGTTCTTGTGTCCCACCTATTTAGATTTCACAACTTTAAGATTGGGTAGTTTAAATTAACGGTGAATGTTGATGGTGTGGCGGGTTCAGGGACAGCAGAACATAAATACTGTATGAGACACGATAGGGACAAAACATCCCTATTGATGATACAAAGTACAAACCTTGCCAATTACAATGCTTATTTTTTCCTATGGACAAACAAAATTGGGATGTTTGTCACAGTTGATCACCCTTGTTCATTGCCTTCAAAACTAAAATCTGAGGTTGAACATACTTGGACAGATTATCTATGAATCAGCCATGGCCATGGCAGGTGTGGATGCACCAGAATGCATTGCTGTAGGAGACTCACTGCACCATGACATAATGGGTGCAAATGTCGCTGGAATGCAGTCTGTATTCATCACAGGAGGCATCCATGCGGATGAACTTGGACTTCACCATTTTGGTGAAGTAGCTGAAGCTTCAAAAGTACAAGAGCTGGCGTCCAAATGTGGCGCTTATCCCACCTATGTTGTACCTGCTTTCTCCTGGTGAGAGTATAACTTAGAAGAGTACATTTCTCTCTTAGTGAATATCTCGATCCAAGAAGTTATACTTGATCATGAAAAATACCACCTGAATGTATCTCTTGGCTTGTTTGAAAAGGCAATGTCAATTGTAAAGTCAGCCATAATTCTTTCGTTATTTCTTAATGGTGGGTTTTGGGGGAAATGTATGATGTTTTTACATATTGCTTTTGTAACAATAACATTTACACAAAGTGTTTAAAATTTTTGTTTTTTCTGGCCAACTTTGTAGACTTGTCGATAACATCAGAACAAACTGTTGGTTGCAAGATTTACTGCATAGGTTGCTGAAGTATGTTTCAAATTGGACCAACAAATTCAAGTTTGAGTACTAAAATGTTAATCGCTAAGATATTGCCATATTTTATGTTAATTCTTTCAAAATTAAATATAGTAGTAAATAAAGATTTGAATCAGGGCATTAATGCAATACGGAGTAACTCTGAACATTATCCACGGTCCAAACACTAGTTTTCTTTTTAAAACTCATCTTAATATGGCTCTTATTAGAGCTGGAATTTGGGTCGTGTCGTGCTGCCGTGGGCCATGCTAGTTCGAGCCAAAGGAAGGGTCGGGCCGTGCTATGCCTTCAAATTACACGCTCTAGCCCGCGGCACGGCACGACCCATGTGCCTGGCGGTCCAGGTCGTGCCGGGCCACAAATCAGCCGTTATTTTTATTATTAATTTACTCTATTTCTTTTTATTATATTTATTATTATTATTTATAGTTTTTATTATTATTATAATTATTATTATTATTATGGGTTGTGCCAGAATTTTTATTTTTTTTTCACGGCACGGCTCACCCCTCGATCCTCGTGCCGGCCCGGCCCAGCCCATGCCAAGCTCTAGCTCTTATCTAGCTATTCCAAATTATATCCGTATTTAATTATCCAGACTTTTGTAACTTGAATAAAGTTTAAAATTTGCCTATCTCAAATTTTGGCTCTCAGCCTCTCATAGATGCAACTTAAAGAAGCAGAGGCAAGAAACCTGGTGATGTATTGCTCCATTCTATATTAAAGCTGCACATTAAACTTGAGAGGGGGTGTGGGTAGATGACAAAGTAGAAAGCAATATAGTATTTAATTTTATTCTTAGGCATGAAATTCAAAATTCTGACAATCCTCTGCATAAAACCACCTTAAGTGCAATCTCGAGTTACATATTACAGTCTACAAAAATAGAAACGGACTGTAGGAGGGACGATTACAGTTTACACTGAGGGGCAAACAGATGAATGACCTATGCCGTCCCCAAGGAGTCAAGGACCTTTCTAGGAGGTTTCTTCTCAGTAACAAAGAACAAATACTCAATATTCACAGCAAAAATCACTGGGTGACAACATTCCATGGCAACGTAGACAAAAAGCAGGCTCACAGCCCACATTTGTACAGAAACTAAGCGAGATCAAGATCTTAAACTCTTCAGGCACTACCAGCAGGGACAGCATCTGAAGCAGAAACGTGAGAATTCTCCGCCGAGACTTTTCGATTAGGTTTATTCTTGTATGCTAGCATCTTATTTAGTGCACTAACATAAGCTCGGACACTTGAGACAACAATATCCATTTCAGATCCACTCCCACTGCAGTCAAGAGTACAAGAATAATAATGATTAAAAAAAAGTGCATTTGAAGTCACCAAAAATAAATGAACAAATTACAACTTCATACCTGAATGTTCGGCGAATTTGCTCCCCAGTAGTAGCTTGCGTAGTTGTGAAACCATTATCCCCACGTATTAATACTCTGGTGGTAGCTATTGCGTCTATACCTTCTGTCACACCTGTCAGTGAGTACTCAAGTAGAGTCACAGGTACCTGTTTTTGAAGAGAGCTCTATTGTTAAACTGCAAGGCACCCCTAAGGAAACCTTCTAATTCCAACATTTTGTTAATTTACCATCTTTTTGAGGGGGGGGGGGAGAAAAAGCACTCTTAGCTTTCTCTAAGATTGAAAATAATATTGATAAACCAGGTATCGATGATACGCCTTTTCTTTCTTAAAAAATATTGAACAATCAACATGTTCAGTTGACAAATTAGCTAGCTTTGATACCATATATAAAGGAAACAGAAGAGACTTCAAAAAAATAATATGAATCCTTGGTGAGCTAGGTAAAATTCTACTGTTGTACATTAGCGAATGATATTCTCTGCTACAAACCTTGACTATTGAATCAACAGCCTTATATGCAGAATCAACTGGTCCAGTTCCAACTGAACAAGCAACATGTTCCGTCCATCAGCATCAATGAGCTTAACAGTTGCTGTAGAAAGTCCAAGAGTTCCACATGTAACCTACCCAAAACCCAAGGAAAATCCAAATTAAGGAGCTCTTCAAGAATCACAGAATCAAAAAGGAAATATAGCAAAACAAAGAGCCATATATTTGCTCAACAAATTACCTGGAGATCCCCAAGTGACCAAACTGATTCCGGCTGGAAAAGTTCATCGATTACCAAGGCTTCAATGTCCTCATCCAAGACATGCTGGTGAATTAGTGTAAAAAAGACAATAAACATAGGATGGTTAAAGAAAAATATGAGATCATATATGTGATGGATATTCAATCCAACATCAGAATAGCATCACGTCTACAAGTAACGAATACTCTTAGTTATACATGATATGTCAAACAGACTTAAATTTGCAACCTAAGCATCTAGGAAATTTCAATAAATTGTCCACCAACAGGCAACTGCTTGCAGCAACGTGTCAAAGACCCAGGATCAGGTAGCATCATAAAATTTATTAGAAAGAAACATTCCTATTTACCTTTTTCTTCTCGGCGACTGATTTAAAGCGCCAAAAGACATCATCAAGTTCCTTGCCTTCAAAAGAGTATCCCATCTGGAAGAAATGGAAACCCGTCAGACACTTAAAGGCATAAGTAAACTGAAGTTCAGTTGACAAAGTGGCTAAATAACCACTTACCTGCTTAAGCCTTTTTTGCAATGCATGACGTCCACTGCCACAATCATATAAATCAATCAATAATCTCTTATTACTGTAAAAATAGTAATGGAAAATGGGAAGAAAAAAAATTGCACAAGAAATCAAGTTAAGCATAAAGCATACAACTCCACACACCTTTGTTCCTTCATTAAGATTCATAATCAATCAATCAATCAAAGCCTTAATCCCATAAGTGGGTCGGCTACATGAACCAAAAGTGATTATTCCGTATAGTCATCCACAAAGATCTTCCTCCTCCATGGCTTACGATCAAATGCCTCATTCTCATGCAAATCCACATACTTCATATCCTTCCGAACTCCTTCCAACCAAGTCATTTTCGGTCTCCCTCTCTCTCGTTTAACCCCTCCATGGTCCCACTCTTCGTACTAGTGCACCCTAGGGTCTCCGTCTTACATAGCAACAGCTTACAATCGAACAAATCAGATAATTCTATGCTCCTTATATAGCCTTAATTCCACCAGTCTCTAAGTAATCTTTGAGATGTATCTTTATAAAGAGTATCAATTGCATCACAGACTCAAAGGAGTTGTTGCCCTTAGGGCCAACATAAGCGTTGATGAACTTCCTAGTATTCATTTTGTTAACTTGAACAGGCCTATGACTTCTGTCAAATATGAAATGATATAATCGAGAGAACAGATGAATACAATACACAGGTAAGAGGATAATATGCACTCTAAAGATGAATACAATACTCAGATAGGATGAATAATTGTAGGAATGTAATACTACTACTAAATGGAATTTGACCATCAAAAGAAAATAGCCACACATAATACTACATACCTAAGCTTTCCAAGAACAAGACCAGATTCATCAGCTCGCTGAAGCCCTATATCTTCTGGAGACATAATTTCATAAGTGCCTTTGTGTTTTAGCATTCCATGCTATAATACCATAAACAAACCTCGATTAATGTACAGTATAAATTAATTCACCATGTATCCAACTGAACAAAGATAAAGTCCAAAGGACATGAAATTTTGATGCTAAGATATTATGGGTTTATGGCTACTCTTTAAATTATGAAGGAGGGTTAAGAAAAGAACATCTCAAGTACTCAACAAGTGAGGGTTAAATAAAAAAAAACTAAAGTATAGAGAAAGTAAAGAATATAAAGATGAATGGGGCAAGTGTTGTATGCATAAGAGCTGCTGAATTAACTACAGGATTTTAATCAAGGGCACATCACGGCATATTTGGAAATGAGCTCAACTAAATAGAAGGTGAATTATTCAACTATTAACTTCAGTATTTCAATTAGTAGCACATTGCTGCTGAAATAGCTTCAGTACTTGGATTAGTGGCAAATTACTGCTGAATCATCTTTAGTATTTCAACTAGTGGCATATTACTGCATATAAAGGAGTACATGAGTAGTTTAATAAATTCCATAGCTTTAGCAGGAACCAAAAATTATTGTAGAAGATGTAGACAAGTAAACAACCTATGTTAAGCTAAACAATGGATATAAATGAAGATTTGTAACAGGAAAATTGGGCGTCATTAGACAACATTCTTTATAATAAAAGTGCAGCTTCCATAGGAGTGTTATGAGTTGCTAACCAAACGAACCGTAACGAACCTGATGAATTCCACTTTCATGCTTAAAAGTATTAGCTCCAACTATAGCCTTGTGAGGCTGTACAAGCAGTCCTGAATACTCAGCCACCTAAAGAATAAAAAATGGGAGAATTAAAATTATATGCAAGCTGCATTCAATAATGAAGAAAAGTTATTATGGAGTGAAGTTGAGAAAGTACCAACTTGCTGGCCTTCACAATGTGTTCTGTCTGAATCCCGGTGTAAAGACCGCCCAATGATTCCCCACGACATTTAATGGTCATGACAACCTACTTTTGAAAATGATGAATGACAACAAATGAACATAATCAAATTTAAATGCATGGTTTAAACCTTAATCCCAAGTCACAATTATCTAAATCAATAAGAAGAAAGTTTAATTCTCATTCAATAAAGGCACACCTCTTCTAGTGAAGCATTTCCAGCTCTTTCACCAATTCCGTTTATTGTTACCTCCAATTGCCTTGCACCTGCACACGCTCCCTGAATTTCAATACAACGTGAGGTCTTTTTTTTTTCCTATTTTTCTTATAGTAATGCAATTACATATT